TTGTGGCCGCCTTAGAACCTCTCACTGCATCAGAGATTACCTATACACTCGTAGCGGGACAGAAAGCAGGTCAGGCACAGTTGCCGAAAGAGCACATTCAGGACGTAGAACCTGAGCCTGATAGCTATCAAGAGGCCAGGCAGTCGAAGCATGCCCAGGTTTGGGATGTAGCCATGTCTGCAGAATTTNGTACGTGATTGACGCTCGTTGGGTTTTCAAATGGAAGACAGACGAAACAGGGAAGATAACCAAGGCCAAGGCTAGGCTTGTGGCAAAGGGGTTTAAGCAAAAGCACGGGATCGATTATCTTTTGACTTTCTCGCCTACTGCAAATGCCGCATCGATTCGGTTGCTCTTGGCATTGGCGTGCCAGTATAATTTGGAATTACTCCACCTGGACATCGAGCAAGCCTTTGTTCAGTCGAAGTTGGATCACGAGGTGTTCATGAAGTTGCCTCCTGGCTGTGGTACGATGTCAGGAAAAGTCGTCCGTTTGAACAAGAGTTTGTACGGATTGAAGCAGGCATCTAGGACATTCTACATGAGGCTTGTGTCGGACCTGAAGAGGATTGGTTTCGAGCAGTCTCTGTCAGACCCCTGTGTTTTACGTTTCATGATGGGAGACGAGGTCATGGGGATGGTCGCGATCCATGTGGATGATATTCTGTATGCAGGTTCTAAGAGTTTTGCCGAGACGGTGGTAGCAGCGCTTGGTGATTCTCTTCCCACGAAGAATTTGGGTGAAGTCAAGTTCTTTCTTGGTTGCGCTTTGAGGCGCGACCGTGAGGCTGGCACGATTGAGATTTCTCAAGAGAGTTACAGAAGGAGTGTCCTCGAGAGATTCAATGTCGTTAGCACCAGCTCGATCCCCGCTCCCCCACTGTTGTCAACAGGTCCGTGATGGAGAATGAGGAGGCGGGAGATGTGCCGTTCCGTGAGGTGGTGGGATGCCTAATGTGGATCGCCTGCCAGACGAGACCCGACATCTCTAATGCTGTGCGGGCTGTGGCAAGACACTCCCACGAGCCGAAGTTAAGCCACTGGAAGGCAGCTCAGAAGATCCTGAATTATCTTCTGGGTACGGCACATCTTAGTTTAAACTTCAAGCGGTTCGGTAGACGTAGGGACTTTGGTACGTAGATGCCGACTTTGCCAGCAAGGCCACTGACCGTAGATCCGTTTCTGGAGCGTTGGTTTTTGTGGCCGGAATGCTTGTCGTTTGGACTTCCAGGACGCAGAAATGCGTCGCTCAGTCGACTTCGGAAGCAGAGTACCTAGCGATGGGTGATGGTGTAAAGGAGGCTCTGTTTGTAGACGGAATGCTTCAGCTCTTGAGGCTTAGTGAGAAGTCTCGTGAGAATAAGGTACTAGAGGACAACGAGGGAGCGATTGCGCTTGCTGATAATCCGCTTAGCTCGGGGAGAAGTAAGCACATCGACGTAAGGCACCACTTTCTTCGGAGCTTGACTGAGGAGGGTAGGATCAAGATCTCGCATGTTAGCAGTAAGGAGCAACATGCAGCCATTCTCACGAAAGCTTTGCCGCGAGAGCTTTTCGAAGTTCACCGTAACTTTGTGCTTGGCTTGAGCGAGAAGTAGAAGTCGGAGGTCGTTGTTATTCGTCAAAGAATTGTTGGTCTGAAGGATACAGCAGCCCCTAGGGAGGGTGTTCGTGGTAGCGGCAGGTGTATCGACTCAATGGCGGGGNCAGCAGTAAGGAGCAACATGCAGACATTCTGACGAAAGCTTTGCCGCGAGGGCTTTTCGAAGTTCACCGTGACTTTGTGCTTGGCTTGGGCGAGAAGTAGAAGTAGGAGGTCGTCGATACAACAGCCCCTAGGGAGGGTGTTCGTGGTAGCGGCAGGTGTATCGACTCAATGGCGGGGTATATCTGATTGGACGACTTGACTAGCGGGACTGTCGTTGGAAGGTTACTCCGGTTCTGCAGGTTCCGCTGTGGAACATTCGTATATAAGTATCTGTCGNAAGTAGGAGGTCGTCGATACAACAGCCCCTAGGGAGGGTGTTCGTGGTAGCGGCAGGTGTATCGACTCAATGGCGGGGTATATCTGATTGGAAGACTTGACTAGCGGGACTGTCGTTGGAAGGTTACTCCGGTTCTGCAGGCTCCGCTGTGGAACATTCGTGTAAGTATCTGTCGGGCAATCTGTTGGTGGTTTGTGTTTTCCTCCGATGTATTTGTGGCTCGTAGGAAGAGTACAACTACCCGTGATCGGGGAATCGGGATAGTGTGATGTGATTCGTGATCGAGTTGTCGGNGCTTCGCTCTCAATTTCACCATATGCTGTTCACTACTACTTACTGCTGTTCACCCCTCCACGCTGGATACCCCACCCTTCCGCATGTCCAGTTCCCTGCCTCAGAACTACATCTGCGACCACGGTGGTGGTGAAGCTTGCTCCATACCCGGCCTTGCCTGTTTCTTTCCTTTGATTGTTTCCTTTCTTGTTTAGACTAGTCTATGTTGTTGTTTTTCTTCCCACTCTGTTTCACGGACCTGCTGCTTGCGAGTCGATTCCCTGAACTACCCACGACCTACGCCAACGAACGTCTCCTTTCCATCCAACTTCCCACACGAGCGGGAGTCACCACATATATATATGTCACGACTGCAAGCACATCTCATCCCACCGAGACGATACACCTGACTGCATCACAAAGGAGAGCACCCACAACGGCAGCGATCGGCCTTGGCCACCGAAACTCATGGGTGATGTCATTGAAAGGCTGCTCGTCAGGTGTTTCCGTTCAAAGGGGGTGGAAAATGGTTTCTGCGTTAATTTGATTGTTATTGTTCGTGTGACGTAGACTATGTAGTCGGATCTGTAGACGAGATGACTGTTGCAGGTGCCCTGTACATAGGTATGCGTTGGGTAGAACGACCAGAGAATGATTGTGCGGAGCTCCCACGCCAGCTGCTGTCAGCTGTCGTGTGCGTGGCACTCCCTGCTCCTTCCCCCCAACCGCGTGTGAGAGATAAAAAGCATCTAAATATCAAGCACTACAGTCTCTACAAAGACAACAAGGGCATCCCACTTAGGGTTGACGAATACCTTTGAGTTTCCTTCGAAGGAGCCCCTTTGCAGAGATTATGCCTGGCGATACCCCAGCGAGCGATAGCGGCGGAACCACGATCGACACGCGCGTGACGGAGCTGTCCATGAAGCTGGAGGAGCAAAGCAAGGTACTGTCGGCTGTCATGGAGGAGCTAGGGTAACTTCAGCTGCCGCCTGCCAGGGCCGCGGGGGCAGAACAGGGGGAGTCAAGCGGCTGGCAACGCCGCAGGGCGCGGAGGAGCCGCGCCGGGCACACGGTTTGGGGTGCCACCCGGCGGAGTCTGGCGAGTAGGTCCCCCGGGCCACCCATCCGCTGGTCCCTCGCTGGGAAGCATTGCGCAGGGGTTTTGGATGCAGGGGGTGATGGACACGATGTCATCGCTGCTGCAGGCAATGCCAGATTGCGGAAGCCAAGGGGGACCAGGCGGTGCTGGAAGACGCGCCACATCTTGCGGTGAGATTGTCGGAATCTCGCCGCCAGGCGGCTGCCTATCGGAGCTGCACGCTGCGGCTGGCGTTAGAACAGATGACGCCGCTGGAAGAGAGAGCAGCAGTAGATCGGGCACGGAAGGTGAACCGGTGCGGGCATTTGATGTCCCTGCAAATGGTGGGTTCGGTGGGTTCCAGACCATCCACTTTCTCTGCGCGGTTGACAGCTCTAGCAGAGGCGCTGCTGGGGGTAGGTTGATTGCCCCGGGCAGACGGAACGAGGTGTCAGGACGTGGAGCCTACGAATGATATCGAAAGTTTCTACAGGGGATTCGCGGTTAAGGCGTTTCCATTTTCTGATTTGGTGTTCGTGCAGTGATGGTAGCTTCGCTTACGATGATACGACCAATGATGATCTTCGAAAGGGGATTCGCGGGTCAGGCGTTTCCAATCTTGAGTGTGGGTGTTTTGTTGAGCAATTGCAGTTCGACTTTTTCGATGGTAAAGTCCAGGCGTGTTATCGCGGGTGTTTCGTACGACGATGGTAATCCGATCCGGCTCCGAGAACCAGTCACTCTATGATGGGAATTCGCGGCACAGGCGCTTCCATTTCATGATGTCCGCGGGCGATGAAAATTTTGTCTGGGGCAGAATAAAAGGGGTACTACTGTACACGGGACCAGGCGTATCAAAGGAGGGGATGCAGCATAGGCGCTCCCCACAACCGATGAAAATTCACGAACATAGATAAACCAGTATCTAGCGTGTCGGTTGAACAGAAGGGGTACACAGGACCAGGTGTATCTAATGAGGGGATGCAGCACAAGCGCTCCCCGCAGTCGATGAAAGATTCACGCATAGAGGTAAACCAGTATCTAGAGTGTCGGCTGAAATGAAGGGGTACACAGGACCAGGTGTATCAAAGCCGATNAACATAGATAAACCAGTATCTAGCGTGTCGGTTGAACAGAAGGGGTACACAGGACCAGGTGTATCTAATGAGGGGATGCAGCACAAGCGCTCCCCGCAGTCGATGAAAGATTCACGCATAGAGGTAAACCAGTATCTAGAGTGTCGGCTGAAATGAAGGGGTACACAGGACCAGGTGTATCAAAGCCGATTCAAAACTCACGCACAGGGGTAAAACAGTATCCAGCGTGTCGGCCAGAAAAGGGGTACACAGGACCCGGTGTATCGAAGTTGCAGATACCAGCGCAGTTAAAATTGTGCAGGTGTCAGCACGAGGTGGAAATAAATGGGGAGGGGAGGACACTGTTGTAGGTGACATTTCCGTTGTTGCTACAGGTAGGTGTGGACCCATGTACCAGACGTGCCACCTTGTGCAGTATGAGTTGGAATGGGGACGGGAGGACACTGTTTGTAGGTGACATTTCCGTTGTTGCTACAGGTAGGTGTGGACCCATGTACNCGAGGTGGAAATAAATGGGGAGGGGAGGACACTGTTGTAGGTGACATTTCCGTTGTTGCTACAGGTAGGTGTGGACCCATGTACCAGACGTGCCACCTTGTGCAGTATGAGTTGGAATGGGGACGGGAGGACACTGTTTGTAGGTGACATTTCCGTTGTTGCTACAGGTAGGTGTGGACCCATGTACCAGATGTGCCACCTTGTGCAGGATGAGGCGGAAATGGGGAGGGGAGGACACTGCTGTTGTAGGTGATATTTCCGTTGTTGCTGCAGGTGGTGTGGACCCATACACCAGATGTATTCGCCTTTTTGAGGGATTCGCAGCAGCAAGGTGTATCCAATATCTACGTCAGCAAGCAGTGTGTGTCTTGTTGAAGGGGAGAAGCCCCATGATAGAATCACTGTTGTTTTGTATGACAGCAGTGTGTGTCTTGTAGGAGGGGAGAGAAGCCCCATTATTAGAATCACTGTGCTTCTTTGTCATGTAGGAGGGGAGAAGCCCCAGCGATGATGAGTTCTCGATGCATGCATGTAGACCGTCCGGAGCGTTTCCCGCGAGTGTAGGATGATATAGCTAGATGTGTTTTGTGTGGTGTACCCCTTGCAGCGAGCGTATAGGTAGAGTGAGGGAGAATATTGCATGACATAACGGCCTGCAGTTCCTTTCGAGTAAGGGAGAACCATATTGACGCGAGCTGTATATGGTGATTGAGAATTGAAGTTTTTGTTTTTTCTGAGAGTCGAAGAGTTGTGTGCAAGCAGGCTGAAGTTCGTCTTTCTGAGAGTCGAAGTATGAGGTTTAGTCTATGCAAGCGGGCTGATAGCGCCTGATGCGTTTGGCAAAACAGTTCACACGCGTTGCTCTCCACAGGATTTTTTTTTTTTCCGGACAAAGAACATCGAATCACGCAGCCCCAATTCTTGCTTAGGGCCGTTTTGAACAGACCGACTTTTTGTCAAAATTTTTGAAAGTGTCAAAAAAATGGAACCTGTATGTAGGCGTTTGTCCAT